ACACACACACACACGCACGTGCAAGCACACACACGCACGCACACAGTAGAACACAGTAGAACACAGGGAAATGCTTTGGAATGCGAGTGTGTATGCACACAGAGAAAGACGCTGACTTGCGTGCACACACGCACACACACCCACACACACACCCTCACACACACACCCTCACACACACACCCTCACACAATCTAACGGCTGCAAGTACAAAGACTTAAAGGTTGACCAAGTGCATGCATGAGCGGATACAGAATGCAACTGTGCACACTCACAAAAGCACACACACATGCCTCCCCGGGCTTTGGCAGAGGGGCAGTGGAGCTTGTCTTGGGAGTACAAAGACCTCATCGACTGGCTGCTGACTCAATGATTCACTAGAGAGCAAAAGGAAGAGAGAAAGAAAAGGTGATAGTGGAAAAAAAAAAAGTGTGAGTTCGAGGGAGAAGCCCAGCAGGTAGAGTGTCGGAGCGAGTGTTAGAAACTCATCTCCTTCATCGATTCCTCCATTGATTTCTCATCCTCCCTGTTGTCTCCTCTGGATTTAAAACAGCAGGCTTCCTCTCCCTCCCCTCCCTCCATCCTCTAACACTCTCTCTGTCCATCCCCCTCTCCCTCCCCCTCCTCTCCCTGCCTGTAATGATGTCTAACCCATTCTTAAACCACACACAGAATCAATGGGCAGTCGAAAGCCATACATACAAGCCGTACAGCTGGAGTTCATGTTTCTGTATGTGCCCCAGCTCATGTTGCACATCCCGTTCCATTCACAAACATGCCAGGTTTCTCTTCACAACACTTCAAGCCAGAGATGGAATCATAGATGCACGGGCCCCTGATTTCTTTTTTCAAATACAACTCGAAAAACACCCCAAAAAAATCCCTTTAAACTGACTGATTATGAAGAGATATTGCAGGGAAACCAAGAGCAAAAAGAGAGAAGAAATAAAGAAAAGAAGGAGCGTATGCATTAAGGTATAAACATAAGGCGAAGGAGCAGAAGGGAGACGAAAAGAGAGTTGGGGGAAGAGAGAGGAAGAGGGCAGGAGGGAGGGAGGTATTGATTTCTCTTGACCCCTTTGTTGACTAAGGTCATGTAGGAACCATTTTAGGGATTTATTTTTAAACAGGCACTAGCGCTGTCTGAAGATGTATAGTTGGCGGAGCAGTGTTGCCTGGAAGGATGAACATGAATGCACCTGCACACACACACGCGCGCACACACACGCACAGATCTACACGCACACACACCTTAAAACAATAGTGTTGCAGGCGCTCCCTTCTCCAGGTCCTCTTTGCTCACCGTGCTGCGTCTACTCCGGGCTGTTATCTTTTTTACGAGGTCCATTTGTGGTCAGCAGCCTCACATCCATGTGTGTGACCGGGCTTATCTGACAACCATCTGTCCAGCCAGAGACATTTACATCTGTGTGGGATTTATCAACACATTTAATAGCAACTATGAATCCGAAAACAGCGATTCGATGTGAATGCCTCATCAGGTTTAAAAGCCAAATCTGATTTAACATTGGCTGGTAATCTGAGCAATTAGTGTCAAACACATTGATGTTGTAAATGTGTAAAAGTTTAAGCTTAAATGTTCAAATTAAACAATCTTTAAACTTGTGGTTTTTAAAGGTCTATAAAGATACTGCAATTGTCTGTGTTGCCTTTGGCTCTAATGTCTGTCTGTCTCTCCGTCTGTCCCTTTACAAGCCCAGCTCGTAGTGGAGGCCGATACCTTTGGTAGCCAGGTGAGAATCCGGGGCAAAGAAACCGATTTCTACCTGTGCATGAACCGCCGCGGCAAGCTGGTAGGAAAGGTGAGACTTCTTTTTTTCTTGAGACGTCTTTCTTAAAAAGCAAATCAAATCTGACAAGTTTCCTGACCAGCCTCTCTTTCTTCTCCCAATGTGTGAATATGTGTGTGTGTGGTTTCTCTGCCCTCTCAGAAGGCCAGTAATCGAAGCGATGACTGTGTCTTCGTGGAAAAGGTTCTGGAAAACCACTACACAGCTCTGATGTCAGCACGCTACACGGGCTGGTACGTGGGCTTCACTAAAAGAGGACGTCCTCGCCGCGGCCCCCACACGCTCCCCAACCAGCAGGACGTGCACTTCATGAAGCGCTTCCCGCCCGGAGAGCAGCCTGACCTCACCACCCCCTTCCGCTTCACCACCGTCAGCAAACGGGGCAAGAGGGTGCGTGCTACTGGACCCCGCTAGTAGTGGCTAACGCTAGCACCCGCTTTCTTGTCGTCCACAGCCTTGACCTGAGCCTGCCAATGGCTAACCCAGTCATCACTTCTATCACACATGACTCAACACCTCCCTTTGTTGGGACAAACATTGACCAGAAACTTGATGAATCATTCACGGGGTTTAGCTTTACACCTACTAATTTGCCACTACAGCCCCTTAGTTATTGATCATTCCTCTCAGTTTTAGTTCCCTTACTGGACCAACTGGAGCTTTACCGGTCCATGGCTGGACCTGGTCTGCTTCCGTTCATTGGTCAGAAATACTGACAGGAAACCTGAAGGGCAGCCAGACTCCCAGGCTCTACAAAGACCTTTATTCCCCCCACTACAAAAAGCTCAAGGCCTTCACATCTCCTCTTCTGGACCAGCTTGACACTGTCAAGTACGGGATTACAACTGGACCATACAGAGGCAACAAGGGTGGGAAAGACTGACTGAACAAGACAGTGGGTGCTTAGCCTCGGATAAAGGGAAAGCAAGAAGGAGAAGACAGGAAAATGGCGGACTGGACAAAGGGATAGAGTGGTCTGCGCAGCGGATCATATGGACCAATAATTGACTGTTGACATGTGACGCACTTATTTGTCTCACTGCTAAATTGGTGGGAACCTGTGAGACTGTTGGACGAGCGGAAGGATGAGTGACAAGAGTCTGAACGATCGAGTGAGTGACTTACTGAATAAATGCATGTTTGTAGGAGGAGGACGAGGAAACATTTGTACGGGTGTGCTTGTGCTTGTGTGTGTGAATGAGTGAGTGAGTGCACCAACAACCATGAGTGAAGCTGGATCACAAGGGACTCTGGAAAGGGACCACGCAGTCCCTGCATGAACCCGTGACAACTCACCGCAGGGACTGAAGCTTTAGGAACTGGAATGTATAAAAAAAACAAGCTGCACCAAATACAGCCAGCCAATCACAGCGAACCAAACCAACAACCGACCAAAGACAACTGGAGACCTTCTTCACGACTCCTCCCCACGTTCCCCCACCACCACCCCCAGGACACAATGCCCTCCGCTTATAGGTGCGGAGGGTGACGAGCGAAGGGACGAGCACGGCGGGGAGGGTGCCTTCTTAATTAGCATCATTGCTATAGAAACAACCCAGGGGATGATGCTCCCGTGCGATATCTTGGATACAGAGTGCTGCTACCAGGACATTCAGTGGAACAAACCAAAGTCTCATGCATACACCCAGGAGAAAAAAAAATATTAAAGGGAACAAT